CTGCCGAGGCCCCCAGCAGGCCCTGCCGGGGCCGTGGGCCGCCCGCTGCGGGCGGCATCGTCCTTCTCCCAGCCAGGCCCGACGGAGAGTGACCCGGGCGAGGGACAAGTCTTCCTCAGCGAGAGCTGCGTGAAGGTGGGGATCCCAGGAGGCAGCGGGGATGCTTCTGGGCCGGACCCCGGGCTGCCTGGCCTGCCCTGGGCACGCAGGGGAGGCGTTGAGTGTTGGCCGGTTTGCTCAGCAGGCTTTCTCTTCTTTACAGAGGCTGCTGGAAATCACAGAAGGCTCAGAGTTTCTCAGGCTGCAGGTGGAAGGAGGTGGCTGCTCTGGATTCCAGTACAAATTTTCCTTGGACACAGTTATCAATCCTGATGACAGGCAAGGACAAAGGGGTGTAGTGGTGGTCGGGTGTGCCAGCTCTTTGCAAAGGTAACGCGAGCAGTGTGCGGTACGTGGCAATATCTGGAGTCGGAGGGAACAAGCCTGTGAGAAAAGGAGGGTGCTCAGGCTGGGCTTCTGTGTCAGGTCTGCAGCACAGTTAATGGTTACACATGCTGCTTTTCTGCAGGGTGTTTGAACAAGGTGGTGCCCGTGTGGTCGTGGATGTGGACAGCCTGGCCTTCGTGAAGGGTTCCATGGTGGACTTCAGCCAGGAGCTGATTCGCAGCTCCTTCCAGGTGGTGAGCAACCCCCAGGCAGAGAAGGGTTGCTCTTGTGGGACTTCCTTCTCTGTCAAATTCTGACTGGACTTCCCATGGATGAACACTGTCTGCAGACACTTCCTGGCAGTTTTCAGAGGGGTTTTGCGTGTTCTTTACTCAGCTGCTCCCTCTTGCCTCCCTTACCCTGTATCAAAGCCGTTACACGTGACTCCAGCTCTGTGTATGTCGGCACTGAGCCTGTATCCAAGACTTGTTGGCCTCCCCTTCAGAAACATGAAGTAGCTGTGAGCACATGGGAGCATCCTCAGCACCTTATAAACCACTGGCCACGTGGTGCTGACTTGCCTACCTTGTCCTGAATGTGGAGCCACTTAACTGCTTGTCTCTGCAAGAGATGGCTGTATATATATGTGTGTATTTCTGCTGAAAGTTCTAACTAAAAAAAAAAGTATTTTGAGATTGATTGGTATTGCTTGTGCATTCCCACATGGGTAGAATCTGGGTTCCTTCAGGCTACTGTTGCTATCCCTGGTCTTCCAGCTGAATGGGACCCAGAGTCTCTCTCCCCTGCACCTCTCGGTGTCGGTGGCTCCACTCCAACTCACATTGGACTTTTCCAGATACTTCTCTCTTCTCTTACCCAGCAGGCTTCTCTTGGGCACATGAATGTACAGTGGTTTTAGTGTCAGTCCCTGGGATGACAGTTCTTACTTGTTCAGAATAAGTGAAGCTAAAAACTGAGGTAGGAAGAATTAACAGCTTCTTCATTTTATTTAGAAAAGGGAAGCTTGTATATATATATAACAATAACATGCACAGTCCTCCGTCCATCAGTGTTATTTTTGGCTGTTCCTAAACCTGACTTGGAATTCTAGGTCATGCAAACTCTTGGGTTTCATAGTGTGTCTCTTGCCTTCCCTTGCCAGCAGAACGGGAAGTTCAGATGACACAGGCAGAGAAGGATCTGGAGTAAAACTTAAAAGGTCTTCCAGTCCTTTTGATTTGGTTGTCTGAGAATCTTTTCTGTAACTTGCTTCACTGCTTCATCTCTGTTTAACTTGTGCCTGGTTTGATGAGGGAATGAAATAGCTCCTTTCCTTTCTGAAGCTTTGTCAGAATGGGCAATACAGAAGTTTCCAGAATAACATCCTTTTGATTGATTGTTTTCTGTAGTTTTTCATCTACCACTAGATGTCTTTTAAATCAAAGTGATTCACCTGCTTCTGGGTGAAAGGAGGGATGGGGAAGCTGTTTTTTTCCCTGTCTTGTGTTTTATCTGATCATAACCAAAGTGTCTAAGACTGAAGTCGTTCATGTCAGCGTGGGAGCGCTGTATGGCTTGGGTCTCAAGGAAGCTGCTTATGGCAAACCAGGAGATCTTCCAGACTCCATGCCACAGGCAGTTTTGCTGTTAAGCTTCCCAAGTGCTTTTCCAAACTAATCAGCAGTGCATATGTACAGCACTGATTTGCCTATTGACTTCTAGTGCTCAGACGGTTGATACCCAAATAGTTTCATCTGTAGCTGTCCTGTGTGATCTACTCTGACTTTTATCACATGGGGAGTATGGGTGGGATTTGGAGCAGCAGCTCTATTGATTTAGCCCTTTCCATTTCCTGCAATCAAGTTCTATCTGGTTATGTTGCTATCAGAGGGAGCCAGATGTAGCACAGCCCCTTTTTGTTAAAGGGAGTAAAAGGATGTGGTTAAAAGACTTACCTAAACCCCTCCAGGATGTTTTAGCCCTACTCTTATGCTCACAGGTTTTGAATGTGATGTCAGCCAGAACTGCCTTTGAAAAGTGTAAGGCCTAAAAGACATCAGATAAACTCAGTTTCTTTCAGCTGGGATAACTAAGCAATTCAATTTACTGGGGGGAATTGCTTTCTGACCCAGGAAGTACAGATCCGGTCTTGATCCATTTCACACAGTCTGACCTTGAGCCAAGTGTCTTGGGAGGTTTTATGGGAAATAAAGGTGACCCACAAGGGTTGGGGGAGGTCGCAAACCAGCAGGTTCCGAGGTGCTATTCCGGGCTGTGTCTGCTGCCCTGGCAGTACTACTCTGGCTGCACTAGGTGGACCCCTTTCTCTTTGGGAGTCGCTGCGCTGAACGTGCATGGGCGTTTCGACCTCTGCCTGGGATGAGGTCGGATCTGTTCCCTGCAGGACCTAGTCGAAAGAGGTTCCAGCTGTACAGCACGTTGCTCTTGGCCGGCTCATCTGGCTTGCTGGGAGCGGCTATAATCTACTGGGCAAAGCTACTAGTCTTCCAACTCCCAGCAGGGGGATGGGTGCAAAGGGCACCTCCAGAGTCCTCCTGACTCTTAAAAAAGTCTGTCAGTACATAAAAAATTGAAAACTTCTGCCCATGGAAGTCAGTAAGGGCAGTCATGTTAGTTGGGGTGTGAAGGTGCCCTTGGTGAATTTTGGGTGTGTAGGCAGAAAAGGCTAGAGCCTGGCTTCTGTGGAAAAAAAAAAAAAAAGGCTGCCAAGGTTTGTACACTGCCTTAGGGGGGAAAGATGGCTGTGGGGCCAGAGGTGCTGAGAGAAGGGTGCAAAGGATTGGATGGGATTTGGTTCTGCCTGGGCTGTGAGGGACTGCCAAGGCACGCCTGTGGGATGCCTACAGTGGGGGGATAGATGGGAGGCCTGAACCACCAAGAAGAAGCAGGAGTATGGAGCTGGAGATGCCAGCTTCACTTCATTGCAAATGAGAAACTGCAGTGGAAAATCTTTCTCTGCTCCCACATGAAGAAGGAGGATTCTCTCAGTTCACCCACCTGACAAGGAATGAATGATCAGGAAAGATATTTATGGAAACCTATGTTAAGATGAAACTTCAAGGGAAAAGGGCACAATCATCAGTGGGACTGAGAGGCAGATAGAAGAGGATGGTATAGAAATCCTCACTTTGCTGAGGGCTTGTTGGAGCTCTGCAGGGACTTGTTAGTAGATGACCAGCACGTCCTCAGCCTGTGTCTCTGGGTCTGTTCTTCGAATCAGGCATCTACCATCACCTATTAACTGTGGTCCTTCTTCCAAGTTTCATGCCAAGCAGCAGTAGAGAAATGGCATATTTTTGTCATGCCCCTTTTCTTGTGGCTTAGGGATGTGCATGGGAATACCATGATCGCCTTGGTGGACTTCTGGGTGGTACTACTGGCTACAAACAGCATTTGGGGATGAGTGGCTCCTTTAAGACTGAGTGCCAGCCTAGGGGGGATGTTAGGTGGACAGTTGGCCCTCTTCCCAAAATTTTCATCTGCAAAATTTTGCTAAGCTCAGCCCTCTCCCTTGTGAAATTCTGTGTCTGTACAGAGCTGTTGAGTGAGTCAGGAAGACCAATAGGAGTGAGGAGCCAACACCCTCTGGATGACACCCACTGGGACATCTGCTGCCCCCACACAGCAGCATAATTTCCTGCCTTCTTGGGGCTTGCCTGAATCCAGCACCTGGGGGAAGAATCGGTGAAGGTGGCAGTAACAGGAAGGCAGAAGTGCATAAAGGTTTCTCTTGTCTATGTCCCACACTGTGAAGTCAACTGCTTTTGTATCAAGGCTGTCTTCAGCCTTGCAAGCATTTTGAACATCCACTGGCAGCTGGAAGTGAAAAACAGAGTGGTATAAACCCACTGTTAACACCCTTAGCTGGGGCTGGCCAGAGGAGTTACTGAATTCAGAGCAAGCATGCTGTATTCCCTGGATGAGCTGCTACAGCCCAGGCCAAAGCACTAAACTGCAAACTGGCAGCAGGGAAAGGGGCAACCTTAAGGAATGGTGGGTTTGAGATGACTGTCAGCCAGCTTGGAGAAAGAACCTCAATTCAGGAGGCAGAGCATTAGCATTAGCAAGAGTAAACTGCAGCTAGGCATTGTATCAAAGAATTCCACTTGGGTAATCTTTTTATTGCCTTTTTTGTTTGTTTTTTTAAAAGAGGATGAATCCCTGAACCAAACACGTTTTGGGGCTAGGTACAGGATTAATGGTGCAGTTTGGATCTTGCTGAGTTCTGAGGAATGTGTTTACTCAGCAGGGTTTCCAGGATTAAGCTACAACTGGCAGATATCTGTCCAGGAAACAGCTCCGTAGATCATGGACTTGGGGTGGGTTTAGCATCCAGCTGTGGACAGAAACGAAGCTGCTCATGACAGCAAGATGGGCCATTACTCCAAGGCTGTGATTCCTCGCCCTGTGGGGAGCAGTTTGTGTGCAGTGCTTCCTGCCTCTGGCCTTCCCAGCACTCATACGGCTCTTAGTATTATTTCCTGCTTGAGCAATAAGAGTTTATAGCCCTAGTCTTTGTGGTTGATTAGAGCCCAAGTTTGTGCCCCTGTTTTAATCAGTGCTCATTTACCTTTGGCATCCTTCAGAGGAACAGAATGGTATGTCTTTCGGTTGTCATGGAAACAGTGAGACTAAATGCACATTTCCATGGCAACCTGCCATTATCTTCAGCTCTATCTGTGGGTCTCCTTTTCTGACCATGGGGGTGGGGTGGTGAAAATGGAACTTCATCTCTTTAAGAAAATAAAATTAAGAAAAGGAAAAGAAACATGCTACCACTAGCATCACCACAACCTCCTTTCCTCCTCTGGCTCAGGGTTGGTGCTGAGAGAGGCCCGTGGCTCCTGCTGCCATCCCGTGCACTGGGGCTCTGAGGTATTGTCTTCAGCTCCTTCTCTCCTTCACCCTTCTAAAAATAGAGACCTTCAGAACAATTTGGTGGTAATGTTCCAGCACTTCTCTGAGATCTTTGTTTCCTCAACTAACACTCCCAGAAAAGGCCCTTGAAGTTAACTGAACTTTCCAACAGGTTCGAAAGGTCAGCGTGTCCCAGCTCCTTTTGGTCCGAAGGGCCAAGGGTTAATTACAGGGTCTAAGACTCCAATGTGAAGCTTTTTTCTGCTGGGACTGGAGGCGCCAGGGCAAGTCACGTTAACCTCAGAAGCAAAGGACCTTCTTTCAAGGGGGGCATCATGGAGGTCATGCCCATCAGAGAACTGGAGATCAAAGGTGATGCTTATCCATTTAATGTGTGACTCAGGTGATGCTGGGCAGAGAAACAAGGTGTTTGCTCTAAGATGGTTCTTGCAGCCTCCTGGTCAGATGTGCTCTTGGCCACTACTAGCATCTCTGCCTACCCCAGCCACTGA